TTCAGAAAACAATAACTCCAACCGGACCACCAGGGAACAGGATTCCATCCTCCCTGGGCCAAGGTAAGCCTTAGGGATGGGGGAAGAAATGTCAGCTAAATGTTTTTAAATTAAAAATGTGTTTTCCCCCCAATGTAGCCCCTCAGCCAGTACCCCCCATTATAGCAACAACCCTCCACTATCCCACCTACTATAGCCATTATACAACCCCAATATAGTCTTTATCCCCATACTACAGTCCCATATCCCTCTACTACAGATACTATCTCCCCCACTACAGCCCTTATCTCCCCTCTACAGCCTTTATTCCACCTACTATAGCCATTATACAACCCCACTATAGTCTTTATCCCCATATCCCTCTACTACAGATACTATCTGCCCTAATACAGCCCTTATCTCGCCTCTACAGCCTTTATCCCTCCTATTATAGTCTCCTGCTATAGTCTCTAACAGGCCATATTATATCTCCTACCTCCATTATAGCCCATATCCCTATACTACAGCCCATATCCAACGGACCACAGCCCCTATTCCTGACATTACAGCCCCTTTTCCCCCTCAACACCCACACAACAATACCTATTACCCCCCCCAGATGCTTCAACCCTTATAAACACATACCCTACAGCCTTTATTCCCCATTTACATATAAACTACAGCCCCAATTTCCTTCTGAAATACTCAGCATCCTTAATTTTCTTCCCAAGTACACACTATAGCATATATAGCAAGGAGGTCTGCCTGCAGAGTGAGGTAACTGTCTCATTCAGAGCTAAAGCTTTTGAATGAGACAGTTGTCTTAAAAGGTTGCATGTCCATTTAATACTTTCTCTCGTTTAAGTTTCAATTTACTGTCTATCCTTTAGAGGAAATAAACATTTCTGGAAAATAAACAAATCTGCATATGAAGTACTCTGTTTGTATTAGGAAATATGTGTTCCTTAAATATTAATGTTTTAAATGTGAATACATTTACCCACTTATGAGTCAAAATATAAATGTGAATACATTTACCCACTTATGAGTCAAAATATAGTCAAAAGGGACACTGCTCATATATAGATGAAATGATGTACAATTTTTGGCAGAATTTTGGTTGAAAAATTAAATGCCCTAACAAATAATATGTAAAATATCAGAAAATAACATATGAACTTTGATAATTACATTCCATGTATTTATGGCTAGTATCCCTCACCCACTTTTATTTTTTCCCCCGTCCCCTTTTTTATTATTCATAATTCACTTGTTTATTATTGTTCTATTCCTGTGTTTTATTTTTTCAAAAACTGTTTAATAAAAAGAATGGAAAATAAAATAAGATGGTAACATTAAGATGTTATAAAAAGAAAATATAAAGGGCCAAAGTTCTAGAATAAAAGGGAATCATGACATGTCACACATGTCATGTGTCCTTAAGGGGTTAAAGGAAATTATTTAAAAAAATATATATTATCTAGTAGTTAGATTCTATACCATGTGACATATTTTAATATTTTGCTTATTATAAAAAGCTTGCAATCTCTGTTTCGATAATCTGAAATATAGTGCACTAAAGAAAACACACACGTTTCTAATTAATAAAACATAATTAATAATAATAATTGGTTACAAACAATAACAACAAATAAATAAGAACTATTTGAATACATACATATTATTCTAATTGAGTTTAACAATATATGAGGTTTTTTTCTAAAGACTTTTTCAATAGTGCTATATCGCCACTTCTATATAAAACTAAACAAAATATTGATCTCAGTTATTTACTAAAGTGGGAATTCAACATGAATGCAAATTTACAATTGTGCCTGTCAAGGGTGTAGTAGGCAGCAACTGAACAGTCAGTTCTTGAATTTCATTTGTTGGAAAGAATTGGCAAGTGAAAAGATCAGAGTTACTTTTACAAGAACCAAATAGTGATGACTAGGTGACTGGGTCAGAGTATTTCTAAAACCACACGCCTTGTAAAGTGTTCTCTGTATGCAATGGCTAGTAGCTACCAAAAGTGGTGCAAGAATGGACAACTGGTGAACTGGCGTCAGGGTCTTAGGCACCCAAGGCTCATTGATGCATGTGAAAAGTGAAGGCAAGCTCGTCTGGTAAAATCACACAGAAGAGCTACTGTATCTCAGATTTCTGACAAACTTAATGCTGGCCATGATAGAAAGGTGTCAGAACACAAAGTGCATCACAGTTTGCTGTGTATTTGGCCGTAAAGCTGCAGACTAGTCAGAGTGTCCATAATGACCACTGTCCACCTCTGAAAGCACCTTCAATGTGGACATGAGTCATATCTGGACCACGCTACAATGAAAGAAGGTTGTCTGGTCTGATGAATCACATTTCCTTTTAGATCAGGTGGATGGCCGGGTGTGTGCATTTATCTGTCGAAGAGATGGCAGCAGGATGCACTGTGGGAAGAAGGCAGGCCAGTGTATGCAGTGTTATGCTCTGGTCAATGTTCTACTGGGAAACCTTGGGTCCTGGCATTAATGTGGATGATACTTTGACATTTATCTAGAGATTGTTGCAGACCACGTACACCCCTTAATTGCAATGGTGTTCCCTGATGACAGTGGCCTCTTTCAGCTGGATAATGCACCTTCCAACACTGCACAAAATGTTCAGGAATGGTTTGAGGAACATGACAAAGAGTTCAAGGTGTTGCCTTGGCCCGCAAATTCCCCAGATCTTAATACAATTGCACATCTGCAGGATATGCTGGAACAATAAATCCGATCTATGAAGGCACCACCTGGACTACTTGCAGGACTAAGAGGATCTGCTGCTAATGGCTTGGTGCCAGGTACCATATGAAACACATTCAGAGGTCTTGTGGAGTCCATGCTTTGATGCATCAGAGCTGTTTTGGCAGCACACGAGTGAATTACATGATATTAGACAGCTGGTGTTAATGTTGTGGCTGTATATATCTATATTTACAGTATATTTTCAATTTCTCTTGTAAAGGGCCCTACAGGCATTTGCTGTAAATCACAATTCTGTTGAAAATTGTGTATCTTTTCATGTATGTGTGTTGTAGACTCTCTTTTGAAAATATTTAGACTCATAAGTGGGTTAATATATTTTCATTTAAGACATTAATAGTTAAGGAACAAGGAATATGCATTTCCTAATGCTCTTCATATGTAAATTTGTAAATTTCCCAGTAATGTTTATGTCCTCTGATGGAGAAGCATTAATTGGAAACTTGACACACACACACACACACACACACACATATATACACATAATGTTAAGTAATTTTGAATTTAATAAAGTGCTCGCTTTTGGTTATAAAAGATCAGCTAATTTTGCTTGCATTAGCTTAGAAATAATATTAGAAAGGCAATATTTTTCCACTGTAAAATTATGCAATCATTTTTTAATAATCCGCAAATGGATCACTAATTAATCCTGATATTTTCAACATTATTTCAACATGAGATAAAGCTTAATAAACCTATATATAACTTATCAGTATATCAGCCCACATTCAATAGATTTCATTCTATACGCTAACATTGCATTAATAATTTATGCAGAGGAGATGAATTTGCATGCAAATTGAATTCTGTTCCTTTTAATATATAGAAGATACATTCACTAAATCGTGAATATTCTATCTCCATCTCTCCACTCTCACCTCTTGCATTCTCGCCCCTCCAATTGTGATAGAATTTATCTTGATTCCAAGGCTCAAGCTTATAGGTGTCATATAATGATATCCTATATTAAAATTGGCTAACTTGGACTCAGGAAATGCTTGATGCTTAAACAGCACTTAAGACCATATATGTCTAAGTTCCGGGAGCAGAGAGCCCCCACCTAAGATGTCTCTGCTCTAATCATTTTGTTCTCTCTTACCTTGAAACTTATTTGTTATGTGTACATGACACTCATCCCTATGTCTTATCTGTACTCTCTTCCTATTACTTTTCTAAGAGTATTTGCACGTAAGCACTTACTTTTTAATGTATAAAACCCAGCTGATGAATAAAACGTCAGAGGCTTATTTTGAATACCAACAGGTGTCTGGTGTCTAATTCTCGCTTCTCCAAGTGCACTTGTAACAACAATTTGGACTTCCTCTGAATATAACAAAGATCAACATTTCTGATCCACAACACAATCCATCAGACACCCTCCCATCATTCCTCCCTCTCTCTACATATATATATATATATATACATACACATTGGTAAATTGGTGTGTAAATAAAGTGTGACTAAATGTAAACTTGTGTGAGTGACATTGTGCGTGTATGTTAGTAAGAGTGTGTGTGTTAGTGTGTAAATGATATTCTATCTCCATCTCTCCACCCTCACCTCTTGCATTCTCGCCCCTCCAATCCATCAGGCACTCTCCCACAATTCCTCCCTCCCTCTTTCCCTCTCTCCTTCCCTCTCTCTCTCTCTCCATTGGTAAATTGGTGTGTAAATAAAGTGTGACTAAATGTAAACTGGTGTGGGTGACATTGTGCGTGTATGTTAGTAAGAGCGTCTGTTTTCAGGGGCGGACTGAGAGCCTTTGGGGCCCCCGGGCAAAATTAGATCCCAGGCCCTTTGAAGGCCAAATATATGTGCATTTTAATAAATGTTAAATATAATTCATAATACGGCATTCCTTTGGATGTGTGTATTGTGAAGACCTGTGTATCAATGCATGTTTGTATTTGAGTCTGTGTGAATGCACTTGTGCATGTCTGGATGACTACATGTGCTTTTTTGTATATAGTGTCTGTGTGAATGCATATGTGACAGGTGACAGAGTGTGTGAGGGAGAAGGTGACAGGTGGCAGAGTGAGGGGGTACCTGGTGGCAGAGTGAGGGAGGGGTTGAGTGGTGGCAGAGTGAGGGGGAGACACAGTGAGTGGGGTGACTGGTGACAGAGTGGGTGACTAGTGACAGAGGGAAGGAGAGGGGGAGACTAGTGACAGAGGGAGGGAATGGGAGACTAGTGACAGAGTGAGGGAATGGGTGACTAGTGACAGAGTGAGGGAATGGGTGACTAGTGGCAGAGTGAGGGAGGGAAGGGGTGACTAGTGACAGAGTGAGGGGATGACTGGTGACAGAGTGAGGGGGGGTGACTGTCACTAGTCACCCCATCCCTCTCTCTGTCACTAGTTACTCCCTCCCTAACTCTGTCACTGTGTCACCCGCTCCCTCACTCTGTCACTAGTCACCCCCTTACTCTGTCACTGTGTTACCCCTCCCTCTGTCACTAGTCACCCCCTCCCTCACTCTGTCACTAATCACCCCCTCTCTCCCTAGTCACCCCCTTCCTCACTCTGTCACTAGTCACCCCATCTCTCTCTCTGTCACTGTGTCACCCCCTCCCTCACTATGTCACCCCCTTCCTCACTCTGTCACTAGTCACCCCCTCTCTCACTCTGTCACTAAGGACAGAGAGGGTGATTAGTGATAGAGTGAGGGAGGGGGTGACTAGTGACAGAGTGAGGGAGCAGGTGACACAGTGACAGAGTTAGGAGGGAGTGACTAGTGACAGAGGGATGGGGTGACTAGTGACAGTCACCCCTTCCCTCTCTCTGTCACTAGTCACCCCCTCTCTCACTCTGTCACTAAGGACAGAGGGGGTGATTAGTGACAGAGTGAGGGAGGGGGTGACTAGTGACAGAGTGAGGGAGCAGGTGACACAGTGACAGAGTTAGGAGGGAGTGACTAGTGACAGAGGGATGGGGTGACTAGTGACAGTCACCCCTTCCCTCACTCTGTCACTAGTCACTCACTCTGTCACCTGTCACTCCCTCACTCTGTCACTAGAGTGAGGGGGTGACTAGTGACAGAGTGAGGGAAGGGGTGACTAGTGGCAGAGTGAGGGAAGGGGTGACTAGTGGCACAGTGAGGGAAGGAAGGGGTGACTAGTGACAGAGTGAGGGAGGTGGTGACTGTCACTAGTCACCACCTCCCTCACTGTCACTACTCCCTCCCTCCTTCTGTCACTAGTCACTTCCTCCCTCACTCTGTCACATGTCATCCCCTCCCTCACTCTGTCACCAGTCATCCCCTTCCCTCACTCTGTCACCCCCTCACTCTGTCACTAGTCACCCCCTCACTCTAGTGACAGAGTGAGGGAGGGGGTGACTAGTGACAGAGTGAAGGAGGTGGTGACTGTCACTAGTCACCCCCTCCCCTCCCTCACTCTGTCACTAGTCACCCCCTCCCTCTCTCTGTCACTAGTCACCCCCTCTCTCACTCTGTCACTAGTCACCCCCTCCCTCACTATGTCACTAGTCACCCCCTTCCTCACTCTGTCACTAAGGACAGAGGGGTGATTAGTGACAGAGTGAGGGAGGGGGTGACACAGTGACAGAGTTAGGAGGGTGTGATTAGTGACAGAGAGAGGGATGGGGTGACTAGTGACAGTCACCCCCTCCCTCACTTTGTCACTAGTCACCCCCTTCCCTCTCTCTGTCACTCCCTCACTCTGTCACTAGTGTGAGGGGGTTACTAGTGACAGAGTGAGGGAAGGGGTGACTAGTGGCAGAGTGAGGGAAGGAAGGGGTGACTAGTGACAGAGTGAGGAAGGTGGTGACTGTTACTAGTCACCACCTCCCTCTGTCACTACTCCCTCCCTCCTTCTGTCACTACTCCCTCCCTTCTTCTGTCACTAGTCACCCCCTCCCTCACCCTGTCACCAGTCATCCCCTCCCTCACTCTGTCACCAGTCATCCCCTTCCCTCACTCTGTCACCCCCTCACTCTAGTGACAGAGTGAGGAAAACAAACAATGACAGAAGTGAGAAGAGTGACTAGTGACAAGTGAGGAAAGTGACACAGTGACAGAGTGAGGAGGTGACTAGTGACAGAAGTGAAGGAGGTGTGGCCGTCACTGATGCCTCCTCTCTCTGCTCACTAACACCACTCCCACTCTCACTAATCACCACCTCCTACTGTCACTGATGCCTCCCTCTCTGTCACTAGTGACACCCTCCCTCACTCTGTCACTAGATGCCTCCTCACTGTCACTGAGTGCCTCCTCTGCAGCCACTGAAATGCCTCCTGCATGCACTGGTGCACTCACCACTTAACACTGCGTGAGGTGACTATTGACGACAACCGGCAATAGTAACAAATGACAGAAATGAAAGAAACAATGACTGAAAAGAAAAGTGACTAGTAACGGCAAGTGAGGAGGTAGGTGACCCGGTAGAGGTGACACAGTGAGAGTGGCTAGTGACAGTGAGGAGGTGGTGACCCATGCTGATGCACTAGTCACCACTTCCCTCCCTCACTCTGTCCCTAGTCACCCCTCCTTCTGTCACTAGTCACCCCCTTCCTCACTCTGTCACTAGTCACCCCTTCCCTCCCTAACGCTGTCAACTAGTCACCACTTCCCTCCCTCACTCTGTCACTAGTCACACCCTCCCTCACTGTCACTAGAGTGAGGGGGTGGCTAGTGACAGAGTGAGGGAAGGGGTGACTAGTGACAGAGTGAGGGAGGTGGTGACTGTCATTAATCACCACCTCCCTCTGTCACTACTCCATCCCTCCTTCTGTCACTAGTCACCCCCTAACTCACTCTGTCACCAGTCATCCCCTCACTCTAGTGACAGAGTGAGGGAGGGTGTGAGTAGTGACAGAGTGAGGGAGAGGGTGACTAGTGACAGAGAGGGGTAAGTGGACTAGTGACAGTGAGGGGTGACTGGTGACAGTGTGAGGGGGGGGTGGACTGGTGACAGTGGGGGGTGACTAGTGACAGTGGGGGGTGGACTAGTGACAGTGAGGGGGTGACTAGTGACAGTGAGGGGGGTGACTAGTGACAGTGTGGGGCATCAGTGACTAGTGACAGTGAGGGGGGATGACTAGTGACAGTGGGGGGGTGACTAGTGACAGTGAGGGGGTGACAGAGTGGGGGGGTGACTAGTGACAGTGGGGGGTGACTAGTGACAGTGGGGGGGTGACTGGTGACAGTGAGGGGGGTGACTGGTGATAGTGAGGGGGAGGGGAAGGGGGTGGTTGGTGCCTACCTGCATCTCTGCTCCCTCTTCTCTCCCCGGCTGCTGCTCCTTCTCCATGCTGGGCTCTGTGTGAGAGGAGTAAACAGGAAGTGATGTCACTTCCTGGCCCCGCCTCTCCCATCACACAGAGCCGCATGGGAGAGGAAGCAGGAGACCTGGCAGGGAGGAGGTGAAGCTGCCAGGTCTCATGGGGGGGGGATGTGCAGAGCGGTAGGTTGTGGGGCCCCGCGCTGCATCAGGGGCCCCACAACCTATCAATTAAAAAGTTTTATTTTATTATTTTGCCGTTCCAGCTGGAGAGATCTCTGATCTCTCCAGCTGGAGCATGGCTGTGCTGCCGGGCCCCTGACTGCCTCGGGCCCTCGGTCCATGACCTAAGTGCCCAAGTGGTCAGTCCGCCCCTGATCATATACCTACTCTAATCTTAATCCTACACTATACCTGAGCATATAACAGCATTAATGCTTATCCTACTGCTATTTCTAACTGAGTAATTCCATATGCTCAAATCAGAATAGGAATTTTTTTGCTGAGACAGAGAATCGCATGTGGGGAGACCCTGCCAGTCTTTTCATAGTCTGATGTGTCCCCTTCTGACTGTGGGCAGCCAGAAATTGACACTAAATCAGGGGCCACTAAATATACTCAACCTGACAAAAGGAAACACCAGGAATTGATTGATACCTGGTTAACTGTGGTGTGGGTACAACTTTAATCCTGCTCTTACCAAAACGGAAGTACCACGCCATCCGAACGTTAATTCCAACTTTGCAGAGGACAACATGGAACATCCTAACGGGTTAATTGGGACAATAATGTTTCGGTTTCTTTTTATTTTCCCCAATCACCATCGTTGCACCTGTGCTCAGCCCTGCATTTTTGATACATTCTGTATGATGTCAAATACAGAAAACATAAGGGGCTTAAGAACGGATTTTTGGGCACTCACCATGTACCATAATTAGTTGGAGGATGGCCTTCGTTTGAATACACAGCACAAGGCTAACAGGTGGATCTCATTGGTAGGAGGTGTGATTTCTCTGGCACAGTGAGATTATCTAACTTTGCAAACCATAAACATTGCTATGGCAATCTAGGAAAAAAGTAATCAACATAGTTTTGATCACTGGGGTGAGGGAAGCGTAGAAATACCTTTACCTACAGTGGTCAACAGTGAGTTTTTAAATAGAACCTAGGATGGAAAATATCGCATTCCCAACTCTGTCTAAGATCTGTATTAACAGACCAGTGTTCAAGTACACCCTCTGCATTTTTGTAAACTGAGAGAAGAAACATCTCTGGTATACACACAAAATAAAAGAAACTACGAGTAAGTACTAATGAAAGAAAAACATATATTTAACAGAAAACAGCACATTTAAGTACACATTTTGGCATTTTCTCAGCTTTCATAAAACAAATATAGTTTGTTTCTTAATGCAACATTTTCTAATATGTAAAAAACAAAAAGTAAACTGTGAACACAAAACATCCATAAAGATTGTGGTGCAAAATTAACACAAATAAGGCAAAAATACATTAATATATACATATATCTACTTCTTTAAAAACTTTCAGACACCGGTACGAATTCTATAGAGATGTCAAAAATAATATTTTATGCATAGTTTTACAGAAGCATCAAAATGTAATACAAATATAGGATAATGCAATAGCTGTTTGTATCGAACAAAACAGGGAGATCTACAATGTGGCTTATGTAACCAAACATATCACTTGAAGATAATGACAGACTCACAGCAACATGTGTACAGAGCAATCCCACAGCGCCCACCAGCAAAAGAAAATACTTTAAACACTTTATATAAATATATGGAAAGATGAGATATACTAGATCAGGGGTAGGCAACCTACGGCACTAGTGCCATGCACGACACTCAAGGTCTCTTTGCACGGCACTCAAGGCTGCTAGAGCCAAACAGGCTCTGGCCTATCAGGAGTCACAGTGAAACTTCAGATACCTGCTAATACAAAAAGGTGGTGAAGGACAATCCTCAATTTATGCATTGCAGCACATAGAGGAAGTGATCTCAGATCACTTCCTCCCAGCACTTGTGAATGGGAATCCACACTGTAGTAGAGCAGCCTGCAGCTGCTGTTGCAGCTCCTGTCCTTGACCTATACCTGGCCAGCCTGGTCCCCACTGGAACCCAGGGAAACCACCCACACTGCTATATATACACAGAAATGCAGAATAACCCTCCCCTCATACAAAAAATATGAACAGCCCACAAACATACACACAATCCGCAGAAACTTAACCTGCTAACAATCCACATACATGCAGTCTCTCACATGCAATACCCCAAACAGCCCCCACACATACACACTACCACACACACAATGTGACATATCCATCCACACACACAATTCCACAAGCAGCCCCCATACACAGCCCACATTCATATGTATCATACATGATACCACAAACTACTCCTGAACATATACAATATAATAGTTCATATATGCACAAATATTCAACGATACAAAGCAATTACAGTATAAATAACACAAGTAGAATACGGCAGCATACACACCTCAATTTTAAAAAAATAGGACCGGCACGCTACGGGACATCACAATCCTATATCGGCACAGTGCTGCTAAAAGGTTGCCTACCCCTGTACTTGATCAACAACAGATAACATGTTTTTTAATGTAATAGATATATCTGTTTCTTTAAATCTGCTGCTCAGCAACCTTCCAAATATGGTCAAAAAGTATGCGGAAGGAGAGTGTGGCTGACTGAGCAGCAGCACAGACATGTCTCAGAGGAGCTCCGACTGAGTACAGGCATACCCCGCTTTACATACACTGGCGAGTACAGACATTCCCGCGCCTCTTTTGTTTGCGAGTGAACAGGAAATGGAAGGTTCGATTCTCGCCCGGAGCAGCTCAGTTCAGGGTCTTTGGGGCAAGAACTTTTCACACCTTCTGACATGGCACAGGTTAATCATCTCAAATTTATAATATCTACTCCTAGCTGAACATATCTATAGATTTTTTTCTGCCCATACATTGTCCATATTCTGCAATTGGTGCCATCCAGTGAAAGGCTTTACCCTGCCATTTTCTATAAATATAACTTAGCAGCTTAGCTGCATTAGCCACAATTCTGAGGTTTCAAAGTTAAACCATAAATGCTTAAAGTGTGCAACTAAGCTGCTAACAAATACAAATTGGCAGAAAATGGTCCAGTGGGCAAGTTTATTTTACTTTTTCTCAGTTTAAGGTTGTCAGATGTGTAAAACTTTAAAGATAAATGGTACAATCTGGAATGAGATTTTTTTTTATTTATTTTTTTTTACAGTTTGTTTTAACTGAATAAAAGCCCACTGGAAATCACTAAATCACTGGAAATCTGCAGTTGTAGTATCAGTTATGCCTGTAAATTACTATTGCAATGTCGTACATGCATTGGGAAGTGAAAAAAAGGTATTGCTTCACTTTAAGTACATTTTCATTTTAAATACATGCTCTGTTCTCATTGTGTACTTAAAAGTGGGGTATGCCTGTACAGGCTTTTTAATCTAAAATAGACCTAAAAGCTCAGCAGACACCCCGACCAAAACTACCAGATATTAGGCTGTCCTTTGAGCGGCCTCCTCCAAACAGCGTAACCAAGATGGCGCCCACAGCGCGAGTGCAGGTGGAGGATGATGACTTTTCCCCAGCAACGAAAAGGGACATAAAGAGCCTCCTACAAGAGGTGAGGAGAGTGTGGAAGGCTGACCT